AGGTTCGACTCCTGGCTGGCTCGAAATTTTCTTTGAAAGCACAAAGGCTATCATTTATTTTTCTTTATCAAGGGGACAGACAGGTAGAAATCATAGAAATGCGCTCCATCGGTGGTGAGCAGAAGGTTTCCGGTTCGATCCCTGGCCAGGGCAAATATGGGAGCAGGGCAATTATTGGATCAGGGCATAAGGGGCTGCCAAGCAACGTAACGTTAACTAATGACAGAAAGACCCCGGAGCTCCTAACTCATTAATTTAAGTTTCACTCTTTATATTTGTTTATAGTGGCTCCTTTTTATTGTCACTATTTAAAAAAATCTTTTTATCTTTATATTTTTCTACGCTTGTGATTCTTATGCAAATTCCTCGTATGTGAAAACTCACTTGGCAATACACCTGATTCTGAGAGTGTAGAGTAAATAATGTAGAAATATATATATATTACAGACTGTAGAACTGTAAAATATATTGGTTAATATGTACAATATTTGTATTACATATACAGTTATATGTTATATATACAGAGACAGTAACAAAACAATCAACAAAACTGAAAATCTCCACTGCTTACAAGTTAAATATGTGTATAAACTCTATAAACAGTGAGAACACGATGGTTAAATGATAGTGTATGATGCACATCTGTCATTCTTTGTGTTTCAGTTGTCTTCTCAGACTGAAACCTAACAATTAATCTATTCTTTATCCATTAATACATACACTACATACATATATCATTCACATGGTGAACAGTACATGCAACCAGTGCACATGCAAAACAAACACTGCATAAAACAATCTGACTTTTTTATTTATTTAGATTTATTCCTGGACAAATAATTTGGATAATTTCTTTTATTTACCGGTAGATCCAAAAAGACTCCTTATTTGTCCCTCCAGTGGTTTCAGTTCAAATCAGCACGATGGCCTATGTCGATTAGACAAGTCGATTTAGCAAAATGTGAGGGTTGAATGCACTGCTAGAGACTTTTGTCTTCAAAGTACATAAAAGTTTGAGAAAAAGGTTTGACTCAAAAACCAAAATCTAAATGTTTTGTCATCTGAGGAACTGGAGTGAATAAATATTGAGTTTACCATAATACTTAATGTTAGTTTTAAATAACTAACAATGGCAATGGAAACTCATAATATTCTTGAATAATTACTACTTATTTTTTATGCATAGCTACTTGTGAATTTCTTTTATTTACCAGTAGATCCAAAGTGACTACTTCAACCCCTCATTATTAAAACACACATTTGTCCCTCCAATGGTTTCAAATCGAATCAGCACGATGGCTTAAATGTCGAAGCACTCTCACGATAATTGAATTAAACGCAATTAAAGCTGCGTCCGTGATACAGTTTCCACCAACTGAGACGTACAGTAACATTTACAGATGAGTTTTTGCGTGCAGCTTCTAGACTGCAAGACAGGGAGGGGGGGTTTTTCTTCTGGGGAGGGGGGGGAAAAGAGAAACAACAGTGAGCAACCCCTCCATGAGCAACACACGGAAAGCAAAGGGGCTGATCTCTCGCGAGGAACGACGCCGTTATCGGAATCTCTACAAACAACACGAGAATTCATCATTCACACGGTAATATAACCCAATCTTACACGGTACATGTGTTGCGTGCCAGCGGTCGGGCGGGAGAAGCAAAAAAATCCACAATCGTATTTTATTGTTGTCTCTTCCGACTGTTTAACGAGTCATGCATTTTACACTTTG